CTGCTGCTCCAGGAGATCTGACAACGTAAGAGTAAGGCAGAGGGCATTTCAGATTCCTATTTAGTGTGGGTAAGCATGCTGGGGACGCAATGATCACCTCTGCAAAATTCACACCGATAAAAAGAATAGCCAATAGATCCATCTTCAAAGTAAGGTTACTCTATAATGGTGTTTGCACCCTCTGAGGGGTAGGGGGAAATACTGGAAGACTTCTGGGTATCTATCCAATTCTGTGATCTTCTAAATATATAAATAAAGACATGGAATAGGATACACTTCCAAGGCAACAGAGCTCAAATAGCATCCATTCCCCATAAGACTAGTAAAATGGAAGCCAATAGACAGGAATTATTTTTTTTTTAACACAGAATAACTCGATCTTGGGTGTTATATATTGGGTGCCTTCAAATGAAAACTAAAAGGAACCACTCCCTGGACAGGCATTCAGATCTAGACTTCTCAAATTTACAGAGGCAACAGTGTAGGGCTATAAACGCCCCAAACCTAGAGTTGGGTGCCAGTTTTGCCACTGACTTGCAATGTTACCTCAGACCTTTCTGAGCCATTTGTAGAATGGACAGATAATATTTAACACTGACCATCTCATTAGGTGATTGTGAGACTCAAATAAAATAATGCACATAAAGCAGCTTAGACAATTTAAAGCATTGTATACATATTAATGATGAATATTATTATTATTGTTGTTAGTATCAGGTAATAATAGCTTGGTGTTTCTATTACGTTATTTATGATAATAAAATGCTTTAAGACAGGAAGCATAATTCATTTTACAGTTAAGGACATTTACTTATTTTCAATCAATCAATAAGCATTTTTTAAATACCTTGTGTTATTGTTCAGTCATTTCCAGTCATGTTTGACTCTCTGTGACCCCATTTGGGATTCTGGGGGAAAGATACTGGAGTGATTTACCATTTCCTTCATCTGAAGCTGGATTCGAACTCAGGTCTTCCTAAATCCAGGCCTGGTGGTCTATGCACTGCACCATCCTACATGCCCTAGGAAGTACCTACTAAGTGCTTAATAGGCACTGTACTGAATGCTAGGGATATACCTTCAAAGAACAGGACCAGAATTATTTATAGTACAGTAAGCTTCCTCTTATTATCAAATGAGATGGTATTTGTAAAATAGGATGCTCTACACCAATGTATGGTCACATTATTGTAACCTCAATTGTGGAAAAAACTGATTTGACAATCCAAAGGGTTTGAAAAATGCTTGACCACAACATGACTGAAAAGATTTAATCAGACCAGAACTAATAAGTAGGATTCCTATCTGTTACAGACCACAAGTTGTTGACTTTAAACCTTTCGAGTGGAAGAGTCAAAAGATATGTAAAATGTCTTTAGTCAAATAAAATGTTTCTCATGCTTCTAGGCTGCAGGTTTGTCTCACAGATGTCTTCATTTTGCAAAAAAAAATCAATAACTATGCCAAATACACTCAGTATGGTGCATCAGATGGTTTGGGTTCAAATCCCCTCTCCAACACTTACTATCCCTATTATCCCAGAAAAGTCACTTAATCTCTCTGGGCCTCAGTTCTAAATCCCTGATCCTATTGTAACGGGAGAAGGGAATTCATTGATTACCTCACTTAAAAGTAATTACTTTTGTTAAGTAAGAACACTTATTAATTGAAACAATGAACCAGATTGTGGAAAATACCTCACGCTTTGTTTAATCAATCAAAGACATTCTGGGGGAGAGAGAGAGAGAGAGAGAGAGAGAGAGAGAGAGAGGAGAGAGAGAGAGAGAGAGAGTGTGTGTGTGTGTGTGTGTGTGTGTGTGTGTGTGTGTGTGTCCGCGTAACAGGAGCCAGCTCTGATTGGATAAGGGACTTGGTCACACCCTAGGGAACTTGTATAAAATGAGGAGAGATAATCCAACAATCTAACAGTGGAGAATGAGGAGGGAAATCCAGAGCCAGAAAGAACTGGCAACCCACTGGAAACCAATGAAAGGAGAAATAGAAAGTAGGACTGAGCTGTGGATAAAAAGAAAGAGTCAGAGCCCTACAGGCATCTCAAAGCAGAAGAGTTGGGCTAACATCTCCAATTGTATCCACCTCTTCGAGAGACAACTGAAGTTGCAAGAAAAGCTTTGTTCTTTCTCCAATTTCCCCCTCCTGGTACCTGACACTATGCTAAAGGTTTATGCTTCTTTACCCAGATGATTTCGGTAACCTGAATTTTGATTCAACCACAAAGAAGCAGAGGTCAGCTAGAGATAAGCATGAATGTAAATGAAGACTGAGAGCCAAACCTCTACCTAAACATTAGGAATTTTCCTAACTGGGGGTCCAGAGCAGTTGTGACTGTACTCTTCAGTTTTCATTAGATATGAACTCCCTAAAGCAGGAGATGGAACTACATGGACCTAAGGAGCCATTATACTTCCACTAGGCTTAAAATGAACTAATTATCGTAATAGATGAACTAAGAACGGTGGTCTTATGAGCTTATGAACTTTGGGAAACCCTTAGCATTAAATAACCTACATACAGTTTTAATGTCAGTATTTTTAATGCAAAAATGATGTTTCCTCCTAATTATGGATTCACCATAAAAAAAAAAAAGACCCAGATCTCTAAGGGTCTCTCTCCACAGCCTGTTATTGCTGCTGTTCCTCCTTTGTTCTCGAAGAGGAATGTGACACCGGGACTTGCAAGTGAATTGGATCTAAGTGAGGGAGGGCTGTGCAAAGCTACCAGCCTCACCTTCCCCTCTGGAGCCTTCTGGTCTAGTGGCAAGATATAGATCAGGACGACTAGAGGTAGGCCCCCTTTCCATAAGTAAAATAATCATGAATGGGCCTTCGTCTGGGAAGCAGATTAGGGGAAAGAGCAAAATAGACACACTCAAAGCACATTAACTATTTCAGGTGTTCACCTCGGAAGGCTGTGAAGTAGTAAACAGAGTGTTTGATTTGAATTGAAGAAGAAGCAGATTTGAATTATGCCTCCATAATTTGTTTAACTGTTCAAACTGATTAAACTTCTGATCTAAGCCTCTGAGGCTATCTTCATCTGAAAAACGGGCCTTATTTAGTCAAAAGGCCAAACTTAAGGATCTAGAAGGCCACATGTGGCCTCAAGGCCACAGGTTCCTCACCCCTGATCTAGGGCAAAGAAAGAGACTCAGAAGGAAAAAATAACTTGCCCAGAGTCATACAGGAAGGAAGCCTGAGAGTCAGGATTCAAACCCAGATCTTTTGATTCCAAATTCAGTGCCCTATTCACTCAGCCAAGATCAATCACCATGATTTCATTAGCCATGAGATCATTTGGAAAATCAACAATTTTTTTTTAAGGAATTACAGCATCATTGTCATCAGTTCTTGTTCCCATAAACCTCCCTGCAGATGACTATGACACAACCCAGTCTTTCTTCCATGAAAAATGTGTGTGTGTGTGCGCGCGTGTGTGTGTGTGTGTGTGTGTGTGTGTGTGTGTGTGTGTATTATACTAGTGTGAGAAAGAAAAGTATTGCATTCTTTTTCTCTTCCCTTTTGGACAGCTCCACTTAGAGGGAATTTCCCAGTTCTGGCCTCACCAAATTTTTCAGTCATTTCCTTTTGAAAGGGTGTGGACTGATAATTGAGGTTGAGCAGCTGTGTCTCCAGCATTCATTATAGAGTAATTGTACAGTACAAAGAGATTCCTCTTCACACCCAAAGGTCCAGATTCCATTTGGAATTTTAACTAAACACTATCTCCAAATGTTTTTAAGATGTTTTTTCTATGTTCATTATGTCCATGAAAATAGGCTACAAGATGAGAGCATTAATTCCTAGATACTATTTCTTTCTCTCCACTCTCCTCCTCCCTTTTCACCTCAAAAGTTTGTATTTTACCTGAGGTCTACTACAACAAATCTACCCAAAGAAAGCAAAATGACAAGTGACAATGTTTAGGGTCTTTTCTATATATAACTGCTAGACTCTATTTGAGGAAAAAGAGCCTCAAAGGCTCAGGGATGGCAGGAGGGCATCACCAGCCAAGCAGGAAATTAAGCACTGAACAATCTAAGACACCCTCAAGTTCTTATGTGTTTGAGACTTGATTTGTATTTCCGGTTTCTAACAACGATGAAAAACAGCCAACCTTCCCAAAGTCATTAGGAATATTTGATAAAACACAGATGTGAATTCATCTCTCCTTCCAATAAAAATACATAAAATATAAGGTACAATATTCAAATTTATTATGTCATTAGAGATAATGGAAAGCTTTTAAAAGGTAAGCACAAATGACCCTTTGAAGCTGGATAAGGATGAGGCAATAATGCCAAACAAATGAGCAAAGATTAGTTAAACAATTTCTGTAGATCAATGTATACTTCTGTGTATGTTTTAGAAGGAAATGGTTATATTTTCTTGGAGACATTTGTTTTCTGGAAATTAACTTGTGACCTAGCATAAAGTAACCTAGATTAAGAGTCAAAAGAGATGGTTTCAAGTCTCAGCTCATTCATTTATTAGCTGTGCAACCTCAAACAAATCAGTTCTTCTCTCTGAGTATCAATTTCCTCATTCATAAAACAAAGTGGTTTGGATGAGATCACAGGTCCACAGGCCACCCCTCACAAGCATCTATGAACTTTGATGGGAAAGAAATTGCATATGTGTGTATGTGTATGTATACATATATGTATATGTAAGTATATATGTGCATATGTACATTTAGGTATATATACATATATTTGAAGAAAATGTTAAATTTCAACTAGGAATGAAAATAAAGTTGTAGTTTTTTGCTATCCTTTTTTAATCATGTGCATTTTATCTTATGCATTTAAAACCATTATTCTAAGAAAGGTTCAGCTTCATCAGACTGCCAAAAGGAGCCATGACATAAAAAACGGTTAAGAACCCCTGGTGCAGGTGAACTCTTAGGTCCCTTCCAGGTTCTAACACGCCATCATTCTGTGAGTGTGTGATTTACTACAGAGAAGATTCAAATAATCTTACCTATAGATAGAGAAAGAAGCAACAGATCTGATGAGGGAGGCCACTGCACCCACTTTTGCGGCTTCTACTGCCCCTTGAACTCTGTATAGCACACTTTCTCCATAACCTTTGTAGGGTTGGTTATAAACGACAATCTTCCCTCTCGCTTCAGAGGCCCTTCTATACAGCTCATCAAAAGAGGAAACCACCAGGACTTCAGCTGTAATTCCTAGAAAGAAAAATAGGAACTTGACGTGGTTTCCTGTGATCATGTAGTTTGGCACACAGAAGAACATACCATTGATACTCATCCAATAAACATCAATGAACCACATATCCTGATGCAAAGAAGCAAATCTGACCTCATGAGTATCAGCTTGAGTCTTTATGGGATCAAACCCATGAACAGAATATGGCTCTTAATCAAGACACAGACTAGGTAAAAAGGGGACAGGGAGAAGGTATAAGTTGCACTGTATATTAAGAATATATATTCAATAGGCACACATTTTGGAACATTACCAATATGGGGATTTGTTTTTGCTTGACTATGGATATTTGTTACAAGTTTTATTTTTCTTATTTTTTCCCAATTGGGAAGATGGGGAGGGGGTTTTTTTAATTGAAAAAAAATAGATTTTTCTTTGATAATCAAGTAATGAAATCTAGGAACCGTGGGGAATTAGAATGTTGTTGCCGTTCAGTTGTTTTAGTCGTGCCCAACTCTTCATGACTCCATTTGGGGCTTTCTTGGAAAGAGACTGACATGGTTTGTCATTTTCTTCTACAGCTCATTTTACAAATGAAGAAACTGAAGTAAACAGGGTTAAGTGACTTGCCCAGGAATACACAGCTAAGTGTCTGAGACCAGATTTGAATTCACAAACATGAGTTTTCCTGACTCCAGGCCAACTAGCTATTCACTACACCACCTAGCTATGCCAGGGAGTTAGAATGGTAGAGAGCATTTGCACAAAAACCAACAGAAACAAAAACAGAAGCAATTTAGTAATCAGAACATGCTATTGATCATCAGAATAGAAAGAGAAAAATAGATGAGGAATTTTTGACATATATCACAAGCACAGAATAACAACACAATAGTGATAGGGACCTCCAATTATCCCAACACCTACAAGAACTCTCTTGATGCCAAAAGCTCAACAGATAATGAGGTATTGACTTGCCTTACTAATAACTTCATCTTTCAAAAGGTAAAGGATTGGGGATCTAATTCTCTTTAGTGAGAAACTAGTTGCTAGGGAGGGAAAAAAAACAGAACCTCGGGAAAATAACTACTCCTTCTTAGAATCTGATGTAGAAAAAGTGAGGAAAACTGAACATAGTCTGACATAAGCCCTAAGTTGGGGGACAGATTTCCAAAAGGATAGGTCAGATATCATAGAACAAAATTCAACAGAAGTTTGCTCGAGAAAAAGCTTTCAATAATGAAATTCAGAAGACACAAAGACAAACACTTATGAGGAGGAGGGAAAAGGTGCAGTTGTCTAATGAGACTAAGGTGGATATACAGGGAACTCACTTGTCAATTTAGATTTTTTTTTAATGTGGAGAAGGAAAGCAAGATTTATGAAAAAGCATGGCATGGAATACCGTCAGCCATGTTAAATATCAGAAGGAACAAGGATTGGCAAAGGAAAAAAAAGGTATTTTTAGCTTTACTGGTGTAACATCAACTCTGGGTAACTTCTCCCAAATCCTACTCACATTAGCTATCAAGTTCCCTAGAAGGTAGCTAAAGACCTCTCCCTTTAGGGTTCTAGAAGTTGAAGTGATTCTCTAATATGTTCCTCATGAACCCCCTATCTAGTGTACTCTCAGCTGATTACCAGCCATCTAGGCTCAATTAGCTTTTAGAAAAGAATGTTTACTAATGTGATATAGTAAAAACACTTGGTACCATGAGCACCCCCAAAAGTCTGAGACACACTATCCCACAGGTATATAGAGTCGATGGAAAAGTGGGCTCAATATTATACAGCACATGTAACAGAGTTAACTCAGAGCTCCTGCTTAAGTGGAAGTCTTTTTCTCTCTTTCTGGGATCAACAGGGGCAGCTAGGTGGCACAAGCGATAGAGCCTCAACCCTGGGGTCAAGAAGACCTGAGTTCAAATCTGGTCTCAGGCCAGATACTTGACACTTACTCGCTGTATGATCTTGAGCAAGTCACTTAATCCCACTTGCCTCACCAAAATGAATGAATGACTAAATAAATAAATAAATGAACGAGTGAGTGAATGAATGAATGAATGAACAAACAAACAAATAAATAAATGGGTGGCTAAGTAAATAAATAAATAAATGAGTGAGCCTCATATTGAGGTAAAAATAAAATCAAGAATGAAAAAGTTATTTTGGGGGCAGCTAGGTGGCTCAGTAGATAGAGCACCAGCTGTGGTCAGGAGGACCTGAGTTCAAATCCAGTCTCAGACCAAACACTTGACACTCACTAGCTATATAACCTTGAGCAACTCACTTAACCCCAATTGCCTCACCAAAATAAATACATATATAAATAAATAATAACAACAACAAAACAGAGGGTTCCATATCAAATTGGAAGGAGATTTCCTTTGGGATGTTCTGGGGATCTCTGCTTGGCGCTGGGCTATTGAACATTTTTATCACTGACCTGGATGATGGCAAACTTTGGGAAACTTACCAAATTTTCAGAAGACACAAAGCTAGGAGTGATATATAACACACTGAAGGTGTCAACATGTTAGAACACTGGGCCCAGTATGCTAAGATGAAATATTAAAAAGACAAATGTAAAAATCTTACTCTTGGGCTCAAAAAAAATCAACTTTCCCAAGGAAGAAAGCAGAGATATGAGAAGATGAGAGTTCAACTAAAAAGAGTAGTATGTTTTAGTAAACTCTAACCTCAATATGAGTCAATAGTTTGATCAGGACCACTAGAACCTCTGGTGTGAGGGCTTGTCAAGCCCTTTTCAAGGCTGCTCATTCACCTTTGGTGTCCACCTGATTCATCCAACTCTCTCCTGTAGCTCCAAGAAGCTATAGCACCCACAGAAGCCACACCCCAGTAAAACCATCTTAGCAGACAGGCTAAACCAGGTTGGGGGTAACTATCAGGCCTCAAACCCATTAATGAGTTAGGAGGATGTCTACCCCAAGCATATGAACGTTTTCACATGGATGGATGAGAACAATTTGTTCCAATTGCCATGAAGGTGGCTGAAGCAGGCACTGTGGAGCACTTAGAACTTGGTCAGGTATCGAAGACTCCGAGGTCATCCACTGCATCTCAGACCATCACTGGTCATCTTGACGTTTGTCCTGCCACTGGACTTTGTTGCCTCTGGAAGTGAATGAGGCTGACAATTTTATGTAATTCTGCCTCACTTACATCTAATCCATGTAGAAGCTAAAACATCACTATGATATCATTGGTCCTCTTCAAAAACAAAGAACAAACAACAATGGTACCCAAAAAAGTTAATGCAATCTTAGGTTGCATTAGAGAGGTATGAGGCCTCTAGCAGGTGTTGCTATATCTGCCCTAGTCAGATGAGATCTAAAGGATTGTGATGAGGCTTTAGCATCCCATTTCACCAAGTACACCAAAACTGTTAGAGAGATACAGAGGAGAGTACCTGGATTATCGAAGGGTTTCAGGGTTTCAAATTCATGCCATGAGAATCAGCTGAAGGTACTAAAGGTAGCCTAGAGGAGCTAAGACTCAAGGGGACGTGACCTTGTCAAGAATCTGGAGGGCTGGCATATGAAAGAGGTATTAGATGGATTCTGTCCTAGGAAAGAAAAGAGGAAAGTATAAAGAGGCAAATGTATGCTTGGTATAAGGAATAATTTCCTAAAAATTAGAATCATCCAAAAGTGGAGTGAATTGTCTTGGAAGGCAATGAATTCCCCCTCCTTGGAGGTCTTTAAGCAAAAACTGGATGGTCATTTTGAAGGTGTGTTTTAGAAGGGGTTCTTTTTCAAGTATGAACTGGATTAAATGGCTTCCAAGATCCTTTCTACCTCTCAGGCTCTATGATTCTGTGACCACTTACACATCTATTGCACATACATCACTGTGCTAGGTATTGGGGTTATATAAAATTTATACATGAAAGTTCCTGCCCTCGTACAGCCTAGAGTGTAATAAGAAGCTAAGACAAAATCCACTAAAAATAATGTACAATATTACATGATATGTACAGTCTCTGACTGAGAAAGGCCTGGATTCAATTCTTGACTTTAACATGTACTAGCTAAAGTGTTCTATTTAGCACTCTAAAACGAAAATTTTCAAACAATGTGCTGACCTACACTGGTAGAGTTTCCTTACCCAGGCATTCCCTATGTCAATGAATTTACAGCTCCAGTCCCATCCCCCTCCTATTATATAAGTGTTTTAGAATTATCAAACTCTGAGAAATAATGACTATGAAGAATTCTGAGAAATTTAATGAGACCTGTATGAACTAAAGCAGAACAAAAAGGAAAGTAGAACCTGAAGGTTTATACAATGACTCCTAAAGGAAAACAACATCTATTTTGAAATTTTCAGAACTCTGATCAATGCAGTCGCCAATTGTGATTCCAGACAATGCCAGGGGTAAAGTATGCCTCTTCCCTCTGAGCACAGAGGTAGTAGACTATAGGTGCCTAGCACTTTGTCACAGTCAAAGGGTTGATTTGTTTTGTTTAACTGTCCTAGGGAAGTGACAGCAATTTTTTAAAAAATGGAAGCAAAAACCAACTATTTTTAAAATCCATTTGAGATACGCACAAAAAGAATAAATGGGTAATAAAAAAAAAGAAGTCATTATAGACTGGTGAGAGTGGATGGGTTAACAAGGGCTTCATAGACAAGATAGCATTTGAATAGCACTTTTAAAAGGGATAGGAATTCAAATGGGAAGACAGGAAGGAAAGACTTTGAGCAAGTGTACATACTGGTGACTATATGGCATATCTAGGGTTGTTGTTCAGTTGTTCAGTTGTATTCAACTTCATGACCCCACGGACCATAGTGCACCAATACAGTCCAAGAGTTTTCTTGGAAAAGATACTTGGAAAAGTGGTTTGCCTTTTCCTTCTCCAGTAGATTAAGGCAAATGGAGATTAAGTGACTTTCTCAAGGTGACACAGCTAGTAAATATTTGATGCCTAATTTAAACTCTGGGCTTCCTGACTCCAGGCCCAGTGCTCTACCTACACCTTCGTGGTGGTCC